TCATGCCTCTTATTCTATGTTTAGAAATTCAAATTACTCATAACTCGCGCCTTTTCTATTTGTTTTTTCCACATGAAAGAATATTCTCAAGAAAATTCTCCTAATTTCATATCAAACTTTAAAAACATAATATTTCCAGCAGCACCATTTAAGTCAAAATTCATGACGTATGAGCCCATTGTTCAAAATTCAAATATTTGTAATGCTTGTTTACCTGTACTACAGGATCTCGCCCCTTTCCTTTTGGCAGCTCCTTCATCTTCTCCACATCCAGCTGATCCAACAAAAACCCACCATCACGCTATAACCAACGAAAAACAAAACAAAAGGAAACAAACTTTAACCCAAAAAAACCCTCACCAGAAGCACAGCGGCTCGAGGGAAGCAACGAAACACATGATCCCCGATGTTCTTCGCCACGCTCTTCAGCTCCAAGTCATTAGCCCTCTCATTCGCATGGTAATACCCCACCACACTCAAACCCTCCGCCCCAAAATGCTCCTCAACCTGCAATATTCAATTTAGAAACAAGAACACAAATGAGATTACAAGTTTTAATCTTTCATTGGCATTTAGAATCTTAACACCACATAGTAAGAGAATTGCATGATTTTTTTTTTCATGCAAACTACAGAGATGGAGACTCACAGCAAATTGGAGATCGAATTAGCATGATAAGCGCGCTACTACAACCTATAGAGTCTTTTCCGTTGCATCCTATTTTTAAATTGCAAGGTTAATCTTTTATAAATATAACTTATGACTATTGAACAGCAACAACGAAATCTTTATCCAAATTTTTTGAGTCCGCTACATGAATCCTATTTTCTCATTCAGTTCTATTATGGATCACCTCAAATGTAAAGTTAACTACTACTATATTCCTATTTTATACTCAATATAATATCCTACTAATGAACTCATTTCTTATCCATAGAATAAAATTAGAGGCATCAGATTAGCATAATTTGCAATATTTAAATTGCTAGGCGGAAATTATAACCCTAGGTATGAATTGCTCATAATCGATTCAATTTGATTTGCACAGCTTTTAAACCCTAGGCCCTAGAACCTAGCTTTTACCAAACCCTAGATCCGATTCGGCGAGATTTAGAGAGGGGGGGTACCAAGTGGAGGGCGAGTTCGAGGGAGGGGAGGAGGCCGAGGAGGGAGTGCGAGAGGGGGACGGCGTCAGAGATCTGGACGGTGGAGTCGTCGCCGGCGGAAAGGCGACCGACGAGTAGGCCGTTGAC